AATTCTTTAGTTAGTAATTAACTCCGTTTTATTTAGGAATTACAAATAGACAAGCAGCGAAGCTTATATTCAGGATTCCAGCAAAGATTAATTTTTTTATAAAACTGGTTTTAATCAACTTTGAGAAAGTAAAGTGAGACTGCTGTCTATATATTATCCCTACAAAAGACGACTAATGAGTGAACTAATGAAAGAATGAACGAACGGATGAATGAATGTGAATGAGCAGTCAGAGTATGCATTTAATTGCAACGCTCCACGACGTGTATTTAGTCCCTATGAAAACGTCTGTAAGTTGTCCAATAAATGGCCTTCATACTATTTGATAAGTCTAACCTGAATCAGAACACTGAAGCAAAAGGTTAGGCTAAAATTTGGTTGTCAACTTCACACACCGTCTTCTGCTCGCTTCGTTTGTCATGGTTTCCCAAAGGAGCTCGCTGATCCCGTCAGCGGAAATGGTCTTCTTCTTCTATCTCCGATTCCTCTTGCTTATGCTTCGTCATCTTTAGCGCAGACAGCATTTTTAACCAAAATTCCTTTTGATGGGTTAACTTCATCCAAAGTTCCAAGGAGGGACTTCGTTAGAGTTGGAAGGCTTGTTTTCCGTGAGTCTTTCTTATAATTCTGTTGCCACTTGGAAAATACAGTTGCGCCACCACGCTAACGCTCGTTCCCACCTCGGTGGTTCTAGGGAATCATTATTATTATTTGGTCCCTCAGAAGCGCTGAATAAAAGTAAAACATCAAACAAAATTACGTTTTGCATTAACTCCCACGGCCGACTTTCTATTAACTTCGGCATTGATCGAATGATTCTTTACACTTCTGTTTAGCAAACACGATGTGTTATTTTATTTCTTTATTTACTCACAAAGCTGACGTTTCGGCGGATTTCGCCTTCCTCAGAGCTTCTTTGCACAGTCACCGCTTTCTATGAGTCTATGAGTCGAATAAAATTTTGGTTCAGCATTTTCTCTGTTTGATTGTGGAGGTGATTGGCTAGGTAGTTTGCGGTCAACTTTACCTTTCCAGACTTTGAGGAAGGCGAAATCCGCCGAAACGTCAGCTTTTTCGTTAATGAAGAATGAAGTAACACCTCGTGTTTACTAAACAGAAATAGAAGGAAAGTTGCGTTTCTCGTTGCTAGCATGTAGAATCGTTCCCTCGGGTTTTCTAAAACAAAAATAGAACAACAGAATTGCTTGAACACTGGGTATTTTGGAGAAGCAACAGATGCAGGTTATGGAATTCATCCGAGAAATCAATTCGGATTGTTATGCGCCCGTTGATTCCACTAATCCAAGCAACGTTATTCACTCAAAATTATCATAAATTTAACTGAAGTTTTTTCAAAATTGCTTATTTATTTGCCTATTCATATGATCCGACTGCAAATATTGTGGGAACACCAGCTCCTCACAAATGCCCTCGAATTTTCACGTGAATTCGGCTGCAACTTGAGGACGCCCTCTTCTTAATCTGCTCTTATGCTTCTGAATGTTGGTGAAGTCGATCTCTCTGAAAACCTGGGACAGCTGCGCTAGAACGTTCCTATGGCACGAATTTTCCGACCACCGATGAATAAGGAGCCCGGTTTGTCAGGAACAAGGTGGGAGCAGAGACTATGCACAAGGCATTCTTAACAGGTGCTCTTCCCCCTTCATGATCAACTCAGTATTCATGAATAATATAAAAATATAAAAACAGAATGGAGAAGTTTATTTTATTTATTTTATACGATCCGTCTTAACGTCTACTGTGCAGATCCCAGCACTTCTCGCATTCATTTCCTCGCATCATCATTCATTGAGGCGTTCCGACTTTTATATGTGGCTTTGGTTGCTGATTAAGGACTTTCATTTCGTCTTCAATGTCGTAAAATGCTGGTCAAGGCTATCTAGTCGATTCTGTCTGCAGTCCTGAGATAGCTGGGCCGGAGCGTTTCTAAGTGAATTGCAGAGAGTGATTTTTTCACGGACAAGCACGCCACCAATTTCCCGACCCTGGCGGGATGAGAAGCTTGGTGAACATGGGGAAGGATCGAACCAGCACCGTGCTCATGACTGTGATTTATAAATAAGGAAAAAAAATACACAAGATAGCCTTATGAAGGACGGAAGCTATAAGAGGTAGTGATTGTATTCATCGATTAAGATCGAAGAAGGGCAATACAAAGAACTTAAAACTATAAATCTACACCAACTCAAGCAGTTTCATTACAACTGAAAAGGACATGGAAATCGATTCAGTCATGAAAAGAGAGTCACCCACGAAAACTACAACATGCACCATTTTTTTCTTCTATTCCTCCTACTCCTTACTCTACTCGCTGATAACATAGAGTGGACTGTGAGTCAATGGGTCGCCTTGTACGATTTCATCACTATGCTACCTGCTTTGATTCCAGCCAAGTAAGTTAAACAAATAATAAAAAGGGTACAATACGCGTGAATTTTTTATGTGACCCGATACTATATATTATGCGGATCCTACTAATTCACCCGGTTAGTCTCCCCGCATCCGCTGTCATCCCTAAAAGTCTTCAGATTTTTGTTTGGGTTTCAACTGCTCTCTTTATTAATGTCGTTGAATGATGGCTAAGTCAGACCCACTGAAATCTAGGAATTGCTTTGCAAGGAAATTCCGAGCTCTTCACTATAGGTAAGGCGCAGGTCTTTGTGAATAGGCGTGATCATTTCCCAGATAAATATGGGAGCGATTTTCCAACTACGAACGGATGGAATTCATGAATGGTCAGCAGAGAGATTGAACCAGGGACCATAAGTGTATTGCACTTCATCCCTAACAAGTGTTACTCTGTTACCCAGACAAAATTTCGGGAAATATCGCCTAGTGACTCCCACTATAATTAATATCGTACCTTTTTTTTGAACATATTTAGAAAACTTCGATTAAACAACCACCGCTCATCTTAGCATTTTAGTTATACTATATGTCTATAACAGAGAGCGGATAGCACAGTGGTAATGATGTCTACCATCACGACCGTGGTGCTAGTTCGATTCCGCTAGGGGTCAACTAAGTCTCTCATCACTTGAAGGTTGGGAAATTCGTACAGGACTTGTCTGTGAAACAATCACTCTCTGTAATCCAATTGGGAATGCTCTATCCAGACTATCCTAGGACTCCAGGAAAAACTGCTCGACCAGCATTCTACGACATTCAAGATGAAATGAAAATCAATGGCATTATACTTCCACGTGATTTCTGTGCGGTTGGTCTCTACGTGACATACTTAGTGGAAACCTCATAGAAAGCGGCTCTGAAGAAGGCGAAATCCGCCGAAACGTCAGCTTAATCGTGAACAAAGAATAGTAACACCTCGCGTTTGCTCAACAAAAATACGAAGGAAATGAAAATCCTCAAGCAGCAATCGAAGCCACACGTAAAAGTTGGAAAGTCTTCGTGGACAATGAATGCGAGGAAACGAATCGAATGTGCGAGCTGCTGGGAACCGCACAGTGGAGACGTGAAGACGGGTCATATAAAATGAATAAAAAAATTTATCTACAACTGGCTGTTGCATTCTTTGATCAAAAATGCAAGGACTTCTAAAAGAATTCAGGCTCCCGGCCTATTTTTTGTACTGATAGTTATAAATCTGGTGAATGATATAGTTTAAGCTGTGTCTTGGGCCTACTCTACAATATTTTCTGAAAAATATCTCTCACAGTCTTGTCTCATTTAAGAGTAAAGAAATCACGTGAATTTATGTTCTGGATCAACAGCATCCTCGCTTCCTCTTTCCAGAAGAGCCATACCATGCATTAAGAAATATTTCCTTTACTAACTCAAAAGACCGAGTTTTACGAGCCTTGGCATAAATAATCAGTATATCTACATGCGTTCTTACGAAGTCTAAGAAATCTCTAGTTCGTAAGAACATACATAGATGTATTGATTTCCTTCGCTGTTTATTCATGACCGCATGGATGCTGAGATATAAGTGAAACTTGTGAACTCGGCTGTGCTACACGAACCCACTGTTACCCTTACAGAGACTCACTTGCTGCCCACCACACCATTTGAAGCTCTTACTATGCTTTCCTCTCAACTATTTTTTTAGCTCTGTCGGTGCAATTATCCATCAACGGAAATGATAGCCTACTTACTGTTTTAGTTCACTTTTTTCTCTTTTTTCCTTATTTTTGCTTTTTTACTTTTTTCACCCTAATAGCACGGATAGAGTCAAAAACTGGATGAGAGAAAGGCAAAGCCAGGGCTTCAGCAGATGTGGTAAATAGCAGGTGAACCACCTGAAAGGGTAATCCCGCGTTCGATACCCAAGCGAAGCTGTGAGTTTTGTTCATATCTGAGCATCTTTGTGGTTGTACTTTACATCGCGCCCTGCCACGAAAAAGGAATAGAAAGTGGACAAAAGTTAAGAAACTGTGATTCCTTTGTTTATGTTCCAAAATCTGTAAAATTGCACACTCAAGAAAACTGTAGTATCTTTTCACTTGTACTTATTTATGATTTATTCCAGGAGTCCAAGAAACAATAAGGACATAGGTTATGTTTAGCGGAAATTCTCAGCAACACTGCTTGACATCATAATGCAAAATATAGGTTTTCACTGTGATAAAGCTTTTGCGGTAGGAATCCCTAGAAAAAAAACCTCTGGCTGGGAATCTCTATGAAAACCCTACACTAGGAATCGCGAGACAAAACCTGCTACCAAAAGACCTTTAAAGGGTTTAAACGCTTCATAAGTAAAGTTTTCATTAACGAACTGGTTCAAATTATACGAATTAAGACGATATAGTCAATTGGTATTCAGTAAGCACTCAAAAGTCACAAATTTTGGCTATGCCGACTATTCTGTGGCTCGACTAATCGGGTAATCCGATGAGTGCTCAATGTTGACTGGCCAAGTTTGCAATACACTATGGAAAACTATACTAGGAGTCGTAATATTCGTGAGAGGACTAGATCCTCGGCGTTGTCTTTTAATTCGTGATCGCCATGGTATCGCTTTAAAAGATGCTTAGAACCATTACTCTACTATCTATAAAAAGCTTAGTCCTCATTTGTCTATTGCCCAACAAATTCACCTGATAACTAATCTGCTGGCTGATAAGGCACACATGATGACGTAGTACTCGATCTTTGAAAGCGTCATCTTTCCAGCCAGCAAACGGCGCCAAACTGATCAGTAACGACGTCAACCAGATCACCGCTAACATTATGATGATTCGCTTCGGTGTTCGATTCTGAGAGTAACTGATGTCCGTCACTGACCAGTACCTAAGCAGATATCGCTATGATGAGCTCAAATTTCGTCTATGAGCTTCAATCATATTAGAAAAACCAAGGTCTCAATATTTGTACAAACCATCTTTTTGCAAACCGTCACTTGTTTTATATTTATAGCATCCTCTATAGAAAAAAACATTTTTGAAAATTACCTGTCAAGCGCGATAGCGACAAGATGAAGTATAGACGCGGTGCAGACGATTACGTCGACTGAAATCCAGATATCGCACAAAGTGACACCGAACCGCCATGTTCCCGCTACCGTCGACCAAGCTCCTAATGGTGTCACGACTAAGCCCACCTGAAAAATTTTAAAGTTTTTTCCAATCACAATCAGATTTCAACCTTGTGACTTAATAAATTGAAAAGTCTACAAGGAATATAAAAATTACGAAACGCCATAAGGGTGTGATGATGTTCTACAGTCAGGTTTCATTAAATAATCCAGCGGCGAGTATAAAACAATCTCAACGCCTTTGTCACTTCAACATTGGGCTCAGACGACAGCGGGATGTTTTAATGAAGAAGAAAAAAAACTGACTAGCTGATCCTTAACCGCGCCTACTAATAGGGAACTGAAATTGTCCACATTGCTTGCTTCAGTGACTTTTACTGAATCATGCAAGATGGGCTTTATTGACATTAAAAACAACTTCTTATTTCTGCTATCAAGCCGTTTTTCATAATATTAATTTCCGCTACAGAAGAGTTTCCTTTCTTAACAGCTTGAGGAAATCTACAAGTTGACAAGGAAGGAGACGCTTTCATCCAGAATTCTGTGAAACATTTGGACACACAGTGTGGACGCTGCCTGCTTGAAGGAAGACCCAATGACACGATTATTTCAAAATTAAAACGCTATAGAGAAAATATCCAATTCTCCCAAAATCACTGATCAGTGGTACTTTATTATTTTCAATTTCGTGACAGAATTCGGAACTGGTGTTTTCCATGCAGTTTCGATCTCATGAAGTAAGTAAGGTGTAGACGAAGCGAAGAATTTCTCGTGCTCAAGAAGATCTCTAGATCTCTCTCCAATCTCTAGACGCTACCTATTTTTCGCTCCACTGATTGTCAGCGATTTCATTTTGTACCAGATTAACTACATTTCCTAATCAAAAAAAAAACAGAAAGAAGAACAGCCTGGCAGCACGTTTAATTAAGAGGAGTGGTTCCCAACAGGTTCCCATTGAATAAACGAAGTGTGTCAACCGACCTCTACAAACAACGATCAATTGTAGTTCAAACTTTTTAGAAAAAAACATTCCTCGTATTACAACCACAAAGAGACGAAGATTACAAAACTCGCAACATAAGTTGAGCTTCGAAGCTTTCGAATCTTCAATTACCCTTAATGCTCACGTGTTATCCGCCCCACCATCCAAGGGCTATGCTTTGCCTCTTTCTCAACCACTTTTTCTACTCTATCGCTGCTGTCAACAGTCAGCCATCAGCCATAACAGATCAAATGTGGAATGCAAGTCGGCCATTAACCTAAAGCACGATTTGAAATCACAATTTTTAACTCCTTATTTACTTTCTAGGATTGTTAAGCTAACACGATGTCGTTAACGATCCTTATTCGTGTGAGGTTTCGACGCCTTCGTCTTGCTCAGAGCCGATGATCTGATTCGAAGGACAACAGTCGTTCGTCTTCTCGATGTGGTCTTTTCGTCGTCGTATGGAGGTGGATCTATCTCACTGGAGCACCGATAGAATGAGGCAATCTTACTCGAGTTCGAACCACAATTGAAGTTCCATGTTTTGCTCATATCTTAGCATCGTTGCGGCTGTACTTCACAGCGTACGTAGCCATGAAAACAGAATAGGCATTAACTAGAAGTTGAGACATTTCTTGAATTTTTAAATATCCAGCGGGAGAAGTTAAATTGACGGGTCAGCGGTCTTCCTGCAGTGCGTTTGACATCCCGAGGAATCCAGTCACCAATTTGTCCATCGGTTGCCAATCATACGCATTACGTGTCTGGCCCACCTTACCTTCGACTGTTTCGAGTACGGAACGGCATCTTCGATTTTTGATTGTTGACACAGGTCGGAGCTTCGGATCTCGTTCCTTACTTGTGTGGAACGGGGTACTCCTAGCATCGTCCTTTCGACTACGCGTTCAATAACGCTGAGTGATTTTTCATCCTGTTTGCGCAGCGACCAGGTTTCTGACGTATACGTTAACGCAGGAATCGTTGAATCGAAAAGGTGGGCACGGTGTCGGGTGTTCCTTGTTCTCTTCACTACATCCTCGATGCTCTTGAAAGCTCCCCAAGCCACTCGTTTCTTTCTACTCTGCTCTGGAGCTATGTCGTTCATCATATTGATTTCCTGACCTAGGTAGACATAACTGGAGCATTCGGAGATATTCTTTCGGTTGAGCGTGAATGGGGCATGCGAAACTAATCCGTTCTTCATGAACATCGTTTTTGTGAGACTTAGTCGAAGACCAATCTTTTCACAGGCTCTATCAAAGTCGGCAAGCATACGTTCCGCTTCGCTAATGTTTGGTGTTATAAGGGTGATGTCATCAGCAAAGCGAAGATGGTGTAGCTGTCAACCATCGATTTTTAGCATCATCAATTTTATTACAACGATTAAGCAATCGCTACTTATTTTCATATGCCACCTTTTAATTTGCAATTATTTTTCGATGTAAGTAGCGCAGTGGTAGGATATACAACACAGCAGTCATTCCATCGGCATTATTAAGCTCAGAAGCCTTAAGCTTAAGCTGAGAAGCGCCAAGCATAATCTTAAGCTTAGAAGAAACTTGATGTTTCTTCAGAAGCCTTCCGAAATCCCAGCTAAGAGCAAATCGACGCCCTTATGCAGAGCAGGACGATTCGTCCATGACTAATTTTTCGGTATAAAAGATCTGTATAAAACATTGTAAATAGGGTGCAAAATACGGAAAGCGTGGGAATGCTCGTACTCCCCAGCAACACAACCAATTTTATAGCGTTGCTGTGCTATCTTATTAGACCATATTATATTTTATGTTTTATAGCCAATGAAGGCGCAATGGTCGGAGGCGCCCTGCAACACACACATGGAATCGATCCCAGCGCCCGTAGCTCACCAAACCTTCCATCTCTCCGGAGTCGGCAAATTGGTACCAGATTTGTCTGGGTGGATAGCAGTACTGGCTCAGTACAACGACAGACCACCGCGAGTCGTTGTAAAGGCCAGGTGTGCATTCAATCACCTCCAACGATGCTTAATGAAGTAGAATGCATGATGCATCCCCAAGAGATTGACCAACGCCGAGAGCCTTATCCTTTAATCCATTATAGCCGGTGAAGAATTTATTTCCTTTGTGTTCGTTTCAGATCCTCGTGGAGCAATATGATTATAAAGAATCAGTCGATGAGAAAAGTGTTGAAACGTATTTGGAATGTTTTTTTCTGAGAGCAACAGATTATTCCTGATAAGAGCTTAAACTGATTCAAGTTTCGCTGTGGTCGCGTTCATGAGTGTCATTTTGGTTGTATGAGTAGAATGGAACTTCATGAATCCAGAAAATTCAGCAGATACTTTTAATGAAATATCTCAACGCAAGAAATAAGACATGGATTCGTGTATGAATGACGTGAAATGTTTAAACGTGAGTAAATGATAAATAAAACCCCAGTGCAGACTTTCTACTAACCATGGCATTGATCACTGTAATTCACTGTTTCTCTTCAATGAACAAAGACGGGCTTGGTATTACAACATTCATTAGCGCACAGTGGCTTAATTTCGGGCGGCTTCACCTTCTTCGGAGCCTGAGGGGCCAAACTGACATGCAATCTGCTCAATCACACACTTCCATAACCTCAAAAGGTAAAATTTAATTAATGCACAAATTTGAGGTTATGAATAAAGTATTTGTCTCTGTGGAGATCAAATATTTATTGCACATTATATAATTCACATATTCACATTGATTTCTTTTTTGCACTACGATGGACGGACTAAGTATCGGCCAGCTCGAAGTTAAATCCTGATAAGAGCTTCAACCTTGCTGATAATACTGTAAGGGCGGGTGCGACGCAGTAGTTAAGGTGCTCGAGACACACTCGGTCGATCGCTGGTTGAATCCAGGGTTCACTGTTCACTGTTTGGGAGGACAAAGACCTGGCGCACTAATAGGGCCCCGAAAGCAACTGCATACAGAAGATATATCTTCAGCCACTATAATACGAATTCGTAAGGGATTAAACAACGTCGCACGCTTTACACTGCATCCGTTGTTTATTACAAGTAGTTACATCATTAAAGTCTCCGTCGCTGCTCATTCCCAGAGTTGGAGATCTTCTATGGGCCAGCTCAATGTTAGGACCCGAAGAGTCTCAAAGTCATGGTGTAAGATCCACTTAAGCTCACTTTTTCTGGCAAAAATCCCTTAGTGTTCACAAGGCCGATTATCGCCTGGGTTTCATAGAATATACCCACCAGAGAGTCTTCTTGAAGTTAAACGGTTTCACTTCATCAATTTCAGCGATTTTGTGCCATACTTTCAACTTTTTCGATAAATTCATGAGAGGATTTCGAGCAATGGATTGCCCTTCCACCTGGTATTTATAAGTGAGCGTATGCTGATTTCAGCGCCATTTTCTAGCGGATAGATGCTTTCCTGACTCCGCTAAATCGTGGAGATTCTCAATGTAGATGAGGTGTAAGGCTTTGGAATAATATTGTTGGTTATGGGAACTTGGAAATATTTCGTCGAAAAGTAGATTTTTATTAAAATAAACCTAAGCCTACTAAGCGACACAAAGTGTTGAAAAACTCTATAATGAACATGATTCACTGAAGAACCCAGAGTACTAATGCGTCACTACTTCGCGCTAACGCGTCCCTTACGTAACCTCGTAAAAAACGTGAACAGAAAATCCTGGAAAGTGAAAAATCATACTTCATGCCGTTGCTGTAGAAGTTCTTGCATTTCTCCACGAAGGAGAGAACGGTTACTGTGCTTAAAGACAGCAGATTTCAAGCGGACACAATTTCTTATAAACACAACGATGCTGAGATATTTGCAAAACTCCGGACGGCAGGTGTCTGCGGTGGGGAACCAACGCAATATTACCCTTTCCGGGGCTAATGTGTTCACTACCACACCATCCGGGTCCTTGGTTTTGCCTGTCTCTCAGCTAGTTCTATTGATGTTTTGCCATCAGCAATCATCTGTCAGCGGGATTGATCTGGGCAGCCTACATGGGCACTGGATCCACTTAAGCCGAGGCTGTTGTTGAAATCATAATGTTTGTTTTTTATTTGCTGCCTACTGCAATTTCTTATTATAAT